TAAATAATAAAAAACAAATAAAAACATGCATAGTGATTTTTTTATGCCTTATACATATGTAATAATTTCTCATGCCGACAAAAATTTTCATAGTATTCAATTTTTTTAAATTAATTTAATTCTTTTTTTTAATATTTATTTCAATATTTATATTGCTCTTAATATTATATTTGTTGTATATTTTAATATACTATATAGTATATTATACATTATGACGAAGGTCAAGTGACTGAAACGTAGTTAATAAATATATATTTTTATATGCAAGCTGTAGTGTGGGGATCCTTTTTCTTCGTTTCCTAATAGTATATTATAATAAAATGACTGTCTTTCCTCTGGATGTCAGCAATCCTAAAGTCCTGGAACTGCATTTGAGCAGCTTCAGCGAGCCCAGACTTTGACGAGGTCAAAAAAATCATTTCTTGTTTTAACTGGGAGCAGTTCTCATAATCTGGCAGAAACCCGCGGCTCGTCCTGCACGCATAAGATGAAGTGACGTGAGTAAACGAACATTTCTACATCTTAATAAGGTTTAAATCGTGGCTGGGATATTGTCGGATTATGTCATGGGACGCTGGGTCTCACACATCGAGTCCATCGAGACGCTGAATGAGCACCGAAATCTTTTACAGCGATCCTCATTCAGGAAAAGACTTGACATCTGCTTAAATCGAGACTCGACCCGAGGGCTTTCAGTCCTTTTACAATGAAAGCGCTCAAGATATTTTCATTATACTGCTTGAAAGGGATGTAGAATCAATTTTACAGTTTTTTACAACTCTGTTTTAATAAAAAGTGAGTGAAAAAGAGCATGTTTTATCTCATAAATTCCAGGGATGGAGTGGAAGAGAAAGATCTCCACCTGGGTCAGAGTACAGCAAACCAGCGAACCCTCAGAAGTGAGCATTTATACAAGAGTTCAGGAGTCTGCGCGACGTCTTTCTCATGTGGGATTGAAGCCTTGGACTGCGGTGAAGGGGTTATTTGAGCAGGTACCCAACAAAGCAGTGGGCCTCTGTTTCTGAAGGCGCCGAAATTTCATTGGTGCAGATACAGCTGCTCGATTATTGCCCTTTCAGGCCGCAGACTGACAGCATGACAGTTTCATTTGGGAACAGAGGCTTTTAAAAGAGGCTCTACAGACAAAAATTATTATTATTATTTTTTTTTTTACCACCTGCATCTTTTAATGGCCGTTAAATGTGGTGGGTGCAAATTGTACAGGACACTCAGCAACATTTACTGGAAACTGTGATCTAATCAGAGTGAAATGTCAATGTGTTTTACATGTTACAGTAGCATTATTTTGTTTACATTTAATCATAGATTATGATACATTATGAATCCTCCCTAAAAAAAAAAAAAAATTGTCGGATCATAAAAATTACTTTCTAGAAATACATAAGATATAATTTTAATGACAGATTAACATTTTATTACAGTAAATTTTCAAGCTTTTTATATATTTCCAAACTGTAAGCTAAATTTCTACAAAATGCTTAGTCGACATGTGACTCCCTTTTTTATTTGTGTTTTTGGAAATGTTAATATAACTTTATTTTTTAAATCAAACTCTATTTCAGCCTCTCCTCTACAGTTTGTGATTCCACTTCTATTGGCAGCACACAAGGGTTTCCTTAGCACTCGCTCCATATGTCTCTCTCTCTCTCGCTCTCTCTCGCTCTCTCTCTCTCTCTCTCTGTCTCTTTCTCTCTCTCTCTCTCTCTCTCTGTCTCTCTTTTTTCTCTGTCTCTCTCTCTGTCTGTCTCTCTCTCTCTGTCTCTCTCTCTGTCTGTCTCTCTCTCTATCTCTCTCAGATGCTGTGGATTCTTGGGTTTGTTCGAGCGGATCCCTCCTCATGAGCAGAGGCTTGACTTTCCCAAAGCTGATATTAATATCACAGACCATTGTGATGGAGTTATTTTCATGGAAGCCCAGGAGGAAGTCACGTGACTCTAATTAGTCCCCGGGGGCCACAGGGTCTCCATTACGTGCCTTGTTTTAACTCACATAACCATCAATGAAGTGGAAAGGCTGAGGAAGTAGCAATCACTGTGCCTGGGCGGCTGGTTTTATTTTAATGTTTTCTCGAGCACCTATTTTGTTAATGGGCCCAAAATCTGAGAAAAAAAGTGTCTTCCCTTCTTTTCCCCCATGACGTTTCTTCGCTTTAAAAATGAGCGAGCGCACATGTGAGCGTCTACACCGATCCACTAGCGGGAAGATTGATGATTCTGTAAAACCATTAAATGTGTTTTTCCTGTTTGGCAGCACCTTATGAACTCTAATCTAAGAAACTAATATGCTTGTGTTGTAATTTAAGAAAGTATTTCTACAAAAGAGTTGGTAAAAGAGTTGGTAAAACTACAATAAGGTTCCATTACAGTTAACATGAACTAAACTCTAAAGCATTTATTCATCTTAGTTGATGTTAATTTCAACATTTACCAATACATTATTAAAATCAAGTTATATCTGTTAATTTTATTTAAAGGACCTGAGCTGACATGGACTAACAATGAAATGCAACTAACATTAACCAAGATTACTAAAATACTGTAACAAATGCATTGTTTGTTGTTAGTTAATGCATTAACATACATGAACTAATGGTAAACAGTAAAAATTGTTTTTTGTCAAAGTTGTAAACTAAACTAAAAATAAAGATTATTGCAGTATGCTTTAGGAAATTTCATTCTTCCTCTACTTTTCACGTTTGATTCACTTGCCAATTCTTTGTAATATATTAGTGAAAATTATTTCTATTAATACTAATTTTTTTCAGACTTTTAGACTAAAGGGATTTTACGAAATTAATGGGGAACTGAAAAATGAAGTTGAAGACGTAGGGAAAAAATGATCAATTAAGAAAATATTTCTAAGAAAACTTAATTTGAAACATTTTGATCTGAAAGCACTGGGAGACATGACAAGAATTACATTTTGACGTAAAATTCACACCCTATGTTCACTTTATTGTGGTATTTTAATAAAATAAACTATACTGTAAAATTATTTTTCAAAGTTGTAAATAAAACAATTATTATTAGAATATGTTTTACAATAAAATACTATTTCAGTCTTTCTACTTCACGATTTCACGTTAGATTCAGTATGTTACTTGACGTTTATTTGTAACCATCTGTGAAATTGACTTGTAGCAATTGTTTCTACGCCAATTTTTTTCAGACTTTTATAAATCTAAAAGGATTTCAAAAAATATTAACAGTATTCAGGATGTTGAAGACATTGGAAAAACCTGTAAAATTATTAGCAATTAAGATGTTTTGCTTGAAATATTTTTAGCAAAATGTACCAGAAGACATGACAAAAACGATATTTTTATGTGAAATTCACCCTTACATTTACTTTATTGTGATACTTTTTTTTTAAAGATTTATTTTTGGCATTTTTTTTATTTTGATAGGACAGTATAGCAGTGACAGGAGTAGGAGAGAGAGAGGGGGGCGGGATCGGGAAAGGTCCACGAGCCAGGACTCGAACTCGGGACGCCCGGAGCGCAACGGCACTATATGCCAGCACACTGCCCACTAGGCTATTGGTGCCGACTTTATTGTGATATTTTAATAAGAGAAACTATACCGTAAATTTTTTTTTTCGAAGTTGAAAATAAAGCAAAGATTATTGGATTACATTTTACAAGAAAATACTATTTCAGCTTTTTGACTTTCAAAAATGTCAGTTTTAATTCAATGTGTTACTTGACTTTTATTTGCAACTGTTACTACACCAAATGTTCTTAAGAATTTCATAAATCTAAAGTGATTTAAATTAAGATTAACGGGAACCTGGAAACTTAATTATCATCAATCAAGAAAATATTTGTAAGGAAAAGTTTATTTGAAACATTTTGATTTAAAATTCACTCCAACATTCACTTTGTGACATTTTGATAAAAGAAATTATACTGTAAATATAAAATAAATGTTCAAAATTGTAATTAAAAGATTATTAGAGTATGTTTTGCAAGAAAATACTATTTGTGACCCTGGAGCACAAAAGCAGTCATAAGGGTCAATTTTTCGAAATTGAGATTTATACCTCATCTGAAAGCTGCATAAATAAGCTTTCCATTGATGTATGGTTTGTTAGGATAGGACAATATTTGGCCGAGATACAACTATTTGAAAATCTGGAATCTGAGGGTGCAAAAAAATCAAAATATTGAGAAAATCATCTTTAAAGTTGTCCAAATGAAGTTCTTAGCAATGCATATTACTAATCAAAAATTAAGTTTTAATATATTTACAGTAGGAAATTTACAAAATATCTTCATGGAACATGATCTTTACTTAATATCATAATGATTTTTGGCATAAAAGAAAAATCTATAATTTTGACCCATGCAATGTATTGTTGGCTATTGCTACAAATATACCCCAGCGACTTAAGACTGCTTTTGTGCTGCAGAGTCACATTTCATCCTTTCTACTTCAAAATGTAATGTTTAATTCAACGTGTTACTTGTCGTTTCTGTGAAATGTACTAGCAGTTTCTGAGTGGAAATGGTTTAACTAATATTATTTGTATAATCCAAAAATATAAGCCACATATGATGGTTACATGAACATAAACACCGTAGTATGAGCCATATTCTGCTCAGAAAACAGATTTTCTCCATCAGAAAGGTAGCTACTTAAACACGTGACAGCAATAACAGACAGTGCCACATGCACACTTCTCATAATTCTGTGAATTCACCTCTCTTTCTGACCTAATAGCTTCCATTTACCGCTGGGCCCGTGCCAAGGGAAAGTGTAGAGTTGGGCCAAAATCCGTGGACAGCTACTGATGAGATATTAATAATTCATTTTATTTGATTATTGTTATTACACGACTTAAACTAAAGTAAAATAAGTTCATAATTAGTCATTTCATACAAGCCATTTTATTTGATTCTGTTAGTACACAAAATGACACCGCTATATCATTCTTGTTTATATATCAATAGGCCTAATGAAGATGAAGTCATTTAAATGATTTAAATGCAGTTTATCAAAACAAACTTAATGTTGGCTTTGATAAAGTTATTTTTGAATATGTTGGGATAGATAGATAGATTATATTTAGGCCATATGTTATTTTGAGCGGTCAGAATATTTCAGTATCCTGTTCTGACCTCAGGAGAAATGTTGGAGGTCCCATAAATATAAGCTCTGAAAAGCACCTTTGATAGGGAGAGCCGTGGAAAATCATATATACTTCACATCTGCCGCACGTAAAGCTCCCGTAAACCTCCTAACGTTTGCCTTATGAATGTCAGCTCCACGCCGCGCGCAAACAATGACCGGCACGTTACACGGACACACGCTGTCCCGTCCTCCCGCTGCTCCGCCACAGATGTAAGATCCACATTGAGGCCTGCGACACACTGGCCCCTTTCAAATCGCCCGGGACCCTGACGGACCGGGCCCCGCATTAACTGCAGCAGGTGCAAGGGAGCGCGGCTTGTTTTCCTTCACGGGCTCCTCAGGAAATCATAAAGCAAATATATTGCTGGGGGACGGTTTTTGGGGTGCCCTGTGAGCAAACTGAAAGGTGAAATGGATCAACGCACGGCCACTGAGGACAGTAAATCAACAGGCCAAAAGGAGAGCTGAATGCACTGTGGTGGCCCCCAGGGGCCCGAGCCCAAGGCCGGGGTTTCTGTCAGTCATGGCCTGGTGTTAATGTCAAAGCCAGCTGGGTCTGGCAGGGCCGTCGATTGCGGGAACTCCACTAGAGGCCATCGTGTCACAGGAAAAGCAGCTCGAGTCAGGGATGATTTGCATCCGATGCAGTAAAACAAAGATAATAAAGATGACAAACACGCTTAGTGTTTTTGACATTCGCAAAATAGTTGGAAAACGTCTTCTCGGCTCATTCTCAACAAGCCGTTTTACTTTTGTCATGCCACGAGTGAAACTGCAGAGAAAAAATAAAGCATGTGAATCTGTGTTTCAGATCTGAATCGTTTGCGAGGGATTTGCACACTTCTGAGGAGGCAATCTGACCAGGACACAGAGGTTAAAGGTCAAGTTCACCTCGTATCCCAGTGGTTTATTTGATTTTACTACATCTTTTCTTTAGCTTACATTTAAGTGGACAATAACTTGAGGGGGCACACTAAAACCTCAATTATAAATGTTACAAAACAATAATTGGAAAAAACTGTACTGTACTTTAGAGAAAAGTGTTTATGATATACCTGACATTTGAAAAAAATCACCAAATTTTATATGTATTATTAAAATGTGATACACAAGCATGAAGACAGGGAAACGATAATATTTGGTGGTTTAAAATGCTGTAAAATATAAACAATTAAAATAAAATAAAATCAACTGTATTCGAGGTGTAAGAATAATACCATTATAAAAAATGTATTAAAATGTTTTAAATTTGTACTGGGTTACAAAATGACATTTTTAGAGGCACTAATCAAAATTTAAAATTTATTTATTTATTTTAAACAAAATTTAAATATGAAATACCATTACCAGCACACACTTTTGAGAAGGACACAGAGGTTAAAGGTCAAGTTCACCACAAATCCCAGTGGTGATGCTTCTTTTTCAAATCTGTCTTTATTTAATGTAATAAGGGTTATTAATTTTTATTTGCTACATTCAAATGTACAGTAGTGGAAAATAGCTGACACTAAAATCTCAATTATATTTGTTGAAAAAAAAAAATTTTTGAAAAAGTACATTAGAGAGAAGTGTTGCTGATATACCAGAAGAAGAAAAAATCACGTATAGTATGTGTTTTATACAGTTTATCATTAAATTGTGATACATAAGCATGGAGAGAGGGAAATTATGATATTTGGTGGTTGAAAATGCTGTAAAATCTTTCAAAATACATTTTAAAATCAGCTGGGAGAAACTGTATATTAGAGAGAAGTGTTGCTGATATACCTGTACATTTGGGGAAAATCCTTTGTTATATAAATTATATAATAAAAATAAGACAGACGCCATGGAGGCACAGGGAAAATTGTGATTTACTGGTTTAAAATGCTGTGAAATGTTTCAAAATAATCTTTAAATCAATCAGCAATAAGACCATGATCTTTTTTGGGGGACACAAAAGGCACTGAATACCAGGAATGACCCATAATCTTTATTAAATTAACAAGCATTAAATTACTGTTTGTTAATATTAACTGTTACATGAAATGTAATGTAATTTCAGAGGCAGAGCAAGTTATTTTATTCTGAAGAATGATTATGAAGACAAACATTTTCATTGAAATGACATGCACTGCTGAATAATTCGCAATAAGACCAGAAGCATTTGGTAGATAAAATAAGTAGAGAAAATAAGTAGATTCAGTTTTATTCTGTTGTCTTTAAAACTTGACATAAGTAAAGTATGATCATGCAGGAATCTTGATTTTTGATTGGCCACTTCAGCTCATCCGACGGTTTTTCCACAAGTGCTTTTAATGTCAACTGCGTTCATTTCTAGTTCTCCAGCCAGCTCACTCCCACTGAAATCTCCCTTCCTCTTACACAAACACATACGATGCCACCCAAACCCTTTCAATTGCAATGATCTTCTCCATTCTTTCTTGTGGCCAAAGGATTCGCTCACGCTAAAATGAATTTTTTATTATTTATGTGTCGTTCCAGCATTTCATGCATTCATGCATGTGCGTTTTCAAGCTTTGCTCATCAGTTAATGAAAAAATGATATCATTTTTACTTTTGCGTGAATTGCAACTGGTGCACATGTGGAAGTAAGTCAGTCACACCCATCGTGTAACACTATACCTTCCCAGGACGGGCCTTTCAGGGCTTTTAGACACAAGTTGTCCTGGCTTTTCGTCTGATTGAGCGATTTAACACATCATATATAGAAACAGCTGTGCTACAAATGAGCCCCTGCACGGTGACTTTGATAAATGTGCTGAATTGACTGCATACAAGCCCCCAGGATGACAGCCTCCTGCGATTTCCTTCCCCCGTCAGGTTAAACGTTTCTTAACAACACGTATGTCTGTTTCAGTGCGCTCCTCATTCGGCGCTCTATCACCGAGCTGGAAGCAAATTATGAAAAACTCTGACATTACAGGGAAGTGCAATTCAAGCTGTGTAAATATGAATTCATATACAGACCACCGTCCTCAAGAGCGGTTTAAATCATAAGCACATTAGGCATTGTACATAATCCCAGTCGCATGTATAAATCACTGCACTGCTGCGGTAATGAGTGGTAATGCTGGGAATACACTAACTATGAGGGTGTTCAGTGTTCATGACCCCTCATGACAAACGCTTTACTGTGTTTCTCTCGTAGCCTTAGGACAATGTTTCACATTCATACACATCTTCCCAATCCATACAGAAAAATATATTTGGTACGTTGGTACGTATATATATATTTACATATTTATTATTTTAAATAAAGTTTTCGTATTGGGAATTTTTGCTTGTTTTCATTCAATTTAAAGGGTTAGTTCACCCAAAAATTAAAACATGCCTCACACAGCTCCGAGGCGTGAATAAAGGCCTCCTGTAGCGAATCCATGTGTTTTATAAGAAAAATATCCATATTTCAAATGTAATAAACACTTTTCTCTCACTTCATCTAACTGTGGTACGTGGAAGCCGTTCCAGCGGATGACGTAGGACGTCGGCGTTGCGTGATCAGTGACGAACACGGAGTGAGAACGAAACAAAACGCCGGTCACGAATTAGAAGCACAAAACGAGTATTTGTAAAGAAAAATGTCAGAGGATTTCGATATAAGCCAAGAGGAGACTGGTTTTCCTTTGCTAAAGTAAGGAAACTTTGTTTCTTTTGCTCCTGTTAAACTCGTGAGACTAGCATATCTCAGAGGCGCGCGTGCGACGCATACGTCCTGCATCATCCGCTGGAACGGCTTGCACGTATGACAGTACGACAGATACCGGAAGTGAGAGAAAAGTGTTTATTACGTTTGAAATATGGATATTTTTCTTACAAAAATGCATGGATTCACTACAGGAGGCCTTTATTCACGGCCCGGAGCCATGTGAGGCACGTTTTATTATGGATGCATGCGCTTTATTTAACGTGTTTTGGACTGTTGAACAGAAACACCCGCCTACTGCAATGCTCCATGCCCAAGCTCAAGCTCCATGCCATGCCGACCCCGCCCTGGCCTCCTGCCCTGCCGGCCCCGCCCTGGCACCCTGGTTTACCTCTATCTCCAGGCCCTCTTCCACTACACGGGCCTGGCCCACCATCCCTCCCCCTGATCCACCTCCGTTCCGCCTCCCTCCGGGATTTCTTTTGGTGGAGCGTCTGGAATCCGCTCTTTAGGGGAGGGGTTCTGTCACAGTCTTCAGCGGGTGTGCCCAGGATGGCCACCAGATGACTGTGTTCTGTGAGCACATGGCTTGTGTTGTGTTTGTGTGTTGCCATGTGCTCTCTCCTGTCTATTGTCTTGCCCCGCCCATCTTGTTACCTCATTATTGTTTAAGTTGCTCCACCTGTGTCTCCCTCGCTAGCCTCCTCATTTGGTTTCCTATTTATTCTCCTGGTGTCTGTAATCCTGTGCTGATCCGTCGTTTTTCATTGTGCGTGTGTTATGTCTGCATGTAGTGCAGTTCCTAGCCTGCCTGTCTGTTTTCCACCCTCGGGGTTGTTTTAGTTTGTTTTTGTTTCATTTTATTATTAAAAGAAGGAACAATTCATCCTGCACTTGAATCCTCGCTTCATCTCTCCACACGCGCCGTGACACAAAACACACACACACAAAACGTGGTTATTGTAGTTAAACCACAGTAACCATAAATTAAACATTAACCATAGTTTGTAGTGGTACTTGTAATAAAATTGTGGTTATACCAAAAATGTAATCAACTGGCAAAAAAAACTTGGTTACTACACTTTCACTATAATAAAACCATGGTCAATTTTCTTAAGAGCTATTGATAGAACACCGTGTGAGCTGCGGGAACGGCGAACTAATGTCATGCGCTCTGGGCGGGAAAAGAGCGCGACGGTCACGTGCGGGAAAAAGGCGGCAGGATTGAACTCATTCCTGGATCAACAGAGAAGAACTGGTTGTAAATATCGATATCATCGAGTCATCGATATCGAAATGTGTTCGTTCATCTCCTCTGTTGATACAGGTGAGGTTCACACGTTCCTCTCTTTTTTAGGCTTGATTGGATGTTCTTGCGACGCGACGTGTTTGTGCCTTTCCCTTACAATCATGTAGTTGGTTGTGTAGATTCGGTTATTTAACGACTAGAAAGAAGTTTCAAGCAGCTTGTGGTGAATTTTTCTACATGAGTTGTAGAATATAGCAAAATGGGTCATTATATTTGTCTCTTTTTTTGGTCTAACTGGTCAAGCAGCAGTATGTAATTTACTGATAATCGCTGCTCACCTTCTAGCGTCTTAATTATTTATTTAATCAAATATTTTAAATCCCCCTGTAGTGAAAATCAAGTTTTTTGTTTATTTGTCTATGTGGTGTTTTTAATTTGCTTTTAGACAAAACATGTGCCAATCCATTAATCAACACCACTGCTGAGTATTTTCTCCTTAAAACTGTAGTTTCCCAATGGCAGTCCCAGAAAGGCGGTTTGAAACAGCCCTCGGTTTGCTACGTCACAAAATTCAATAACCAATCACGTCAAGGGATAGATTCCTGTCATTAGCATATCCCTCTCTCCATTTATACAAACAGGGAGCGCATAGAGATCATAGCATAGAGTTTGCATGCTAAATATACCAAATACCAGCACAAAACCAAAAATAAAATAGAGCAAAAACCCATGAAGCCGTGGTTTAACATGAATTTAGAACCGCTAACTTGAATAATAACCCGTGGCAACAGTGTAAAAGTAGCCCGGAGTCAGACCCACCTCTAATTCACTCACATTCACTCGCATGCTCGCGGGCGCGAATTAGGAATCACAAACTTGCACTTGCATTCGAGTCGTCAAGGCATTTTAAAGTAAGTAACTTTAACGACTGTTGCAGTATCCACTGTAGTTGTCTGCTAGTAAAAACAGTTTTATCAGTCATTATCCGTGGATCAGGAGGCCCTGGCTGGTATGACTGAGTGGAGGCGGGGCTAATTTGCATATTCATAGATCCGAGTATAGTAAATTAGGCAAGGGTGTAGAGTTACATTCAAGCTATTTTAAGGCCTGAGAAAATAATTTTTTGATGATCTAAGATGAGTTTTAAGGGATAAAATTTTTGACTGCAGGGGGACTTTTTTTTCTTGTTGCTATGGAATGGACATTTTTGTACTCTGTAATGGGCTCTTTTTTCTTAGTGGAAGCTTTAAGATAATCTACATCTTTAATCTTACATTTTGCAATAATGACTGGCTAACTGTACTGTTACTTGTAGTTCAGTTGGTCTGATTAGTGAACTTTTACTTTTCAGTTAGGTCTACTTGACATGGACCCTTTTCACAAGACCCTGATGACGCGTTTAACGGTCATCAGCATCGTAAATCCTCGAAAGTTTTTTATATATATATATATATTTTTTTTAAATGTATGTACATTTGATAACACAATAATTCGTATTGCATCAAATTACAAAAAAAAAAATAGTTAACGCTAATGCGAGGGTGTTTCTAATGCAGGGAGGGATGATAAATTTGACATAGTTCTCTCTTCTGAATGCTGTTATCAGTCTCTCAATTTTTTTCCTTTTATTGAAAGTCATAAAAAAACACTATTGTTGAGTTTTTCTTTTGCTATTTGAGCAAATGGGAATGCAAAAAATATATTTGTGGTACTCTTCCATTCACTGCTCTTCAAGTTAACCCAACTACGACGACTTCCGCTGCCGAGAAACCTGGAAATGTGAAAAAAGTCCATTGTAAAGATTTTTAGTTGCTCTGCCAGCATTTTCATAAGCCCCAAAACAAATATTATAAATAGCTGTTTTAGGCAACCGTCCTATATGTGACAAAGTAATGTGATTTATATACTTTATTTAGATGTTTTTATCAGCTGTTTGGACTCTCATTCTGACGGCACCCATTCACTGCAGAGGAGCCATTGGTGAGCAAGTGATGCAATGCTACATTTCTCCAAATCTGATGAAGAAACAAACTCATCTACATCTTGGATGATCTGAGGGTGAGTACATTTACAACACATTTTCATTTTTGGTAAAACTGTTCCTTTAATACTTAAATCAGCACAATTCATATCACTGAACATTCAGTGTCTAGGAAACATGCATACAATCCTTATAGACTACAGTCACACTTCAGGTGTTTAATGACTCTGATTATTAGCTAAATGAGAACTTTATAAGCTTCTAAGTTGTTGCAACCGAGTGTTGTAAGAAAGCTTTTGGTTCACACGGACCGTGCATATTTATATACGTTTATGAAATGGCTTTTAAGGCAAGAAATTCTCGTTTTATGAAACCATCCTTTCTATCTTGCCCAGTCTACGGTGACACATCTTCACAATAATTGCGGTTTGCATTTAAGTGTTGCAACTCTTACGATGTGATCTAAACATTTCAACGGCCGGCCAGTGATGTTGCAACTTATCGGAGGTGTCTTGAAAGAGAACTGAAACCCCTCATTTTAGAGCAGCCAGCTGCCTATGTGTACATGTCCTTGGTTTCTTACTGTGTGAAAGTGGTTGTAACTTCTCTAAATCACCAGAGCATCAGGTAACCAAAGGAGAGAGATCATTTTCCTTCGAAATCTTTGAAAGGAGTGAAAAAGCATGTACATTAACCATGCACGACTCCATCATTTGTTTTAACTTGCATATTGGTAACCCCCATCTAAAAATACCCATATAAATAGGTCTTTTTTTGTTAGAAGATCTTCAATTAGCGAAACCACAGTGATTGTTCCAGCTTTTCTCCATGCAACTGTATTAATACCACTGTGGCAAATGAACTTCCCTATTCTGGAAATGACACATTGTCTCATCTTCCTGTTTCTCTTTATCTGAGTCTTTGCACATCGATTATCACACACATTGTCATTAACTGTGTGTTTTTGGTGGAGGCAGATAGAGGAAGTGTGTTTCTAAGTCAGTGTTAAGAAATTGTTAGCACTTCATCAGTATCTTCTATTAATATTTGAGGGTGTAATAATGCATGGTTGTGAAACGTTCTTTTAGGCGTTAGTCGACCTCTTGACCCTCAAGTATTATAATTAGTAATTGGACTGAGCCTTGTGATAATTAATTACAC